ATGTTAAATACAGCATGTTTTGACGGATCTGTTGATTCAGTTGAATGTAAACCCCTTCTCGCCTTTGGAGTCGATGTTGCTGTAAGGGGGCGGCTGCAGCGCCTGGGGGTACGGGCAGGGGGCTGACTGCGGCCCCTGGGGGTAGGGGGCTGGTCCTCCTGGATAGGGGGGTGGCAGGAACTGGCCGGTTGTGTGTACACCCTGGGCCTGTGGCATGACTACGGGCAGCCTGGACAGCTTCCTGGCTGTACCCTTACACTTGAAGATGAAGTACACCAGGAGGCTGATAAGGAGGAGGAACCCCAGCGTGCTCCAGAACATGGAGTGGAACATGTCATTCCACGTGTAGAGCCTCCTTACCAGGACTTGCTGTAACCAGAAAGAAAGAAACACAGTGCAATTTAGTTTTAGTGCAACTTGAAATGAACAAAAACGAGAGATCATGATGTAAACATCATGATGTACCTTCTATGAAGTTATAAATTTTAGAACAAATCAAGGAGGTGAAAATCATAAACCTCCTTGAACAAATCTACATTTATCTACTAGAATGTTGTCAACTTGGTCCTAACTGCAACACATTCCAACATGTACCCCCGTATGTTTATCAACGCATCTACACCAGTAATACTCACGTTGGTGTTGTCAGGGTTGTACAGGCACTTGAAGGACGTTCCTACAGGGAATTTGTCTTTGAATCTGTCGACTTCTTCCTCGTTGAATCTTACGCTGCGGTCACAAGGTGCCGTCACACACTGGAAATCCTGAACACAGGGATCAGAATGTCGGTGTTTGTCTCTGTTGTTCTTTTATCTTTGTAATTAGTTCTTGTTTGTAGTAACACCTGATTATAAATGCTGCCCTATACATAGATCTCATGAATCTAGCAATGATCAAAACTGGTGGGAAAATGATGTCGTTATACAATAAAAGTACGAAACCAAACTGCTATCTCAAACATATAATTACGTCCGAGTAATGATATCTCATGGTATAGCGTACACATATTTCCTTATTTCCTATATAAACTTCCAGTTTTAACCGTCAAGCATGGCGAACACTCCTGACGTCATAGTCACGTGAGTGCAAAGTTCTGATGACGTACCTCGCCCTTGTGCCCATGTTTGTTCAGCCTTTTCTCGTCTTCGTACAAGACCCCGCTGAACGTGGCGCCGTCGTCATCAGCATAAGACACAACGATGCGCAGACATGGAAACGAGGAGTGACAGTGCTTCCCACATTTACAGTCGACGTCCTCACCTAAACAAGCAAAGAATGCACGTTAAGTGATTTAAAGAAGCTTAAGTTAACGTACATTTATGCTAACCTTGAGTTCGTAGAAGGAAAATATATTGTTTTTTTTTTGCTCAGTTTCTTCTTCCGTTCCAAGCACATAAGGTCAATGACCTGGACCAGAAGTCTGTCATCATGGTAACTGGTGCTGTAGCAGTTGGTTTCATTGCAGGACGAAGTTGGACTCGTTTCCCATACATGTGATGGTGTTTGAGTAAGAGTTAACTGAGCAGAAACATTATCCATTTGCTTTGCAAATGCTACTTTTCTAGTTCTTCTTATTTTCGTTTCAAAGCTTAACTAGAGAAGAAACTGTGACTAATAGTAGATGATACATAGTGTCTATCTATCACAGAATTACTAGTACTTAGCATTAGACTGTAGCGTCTCAATGTTCAATACCTCTAGACCTCATTTGGTAGCATGTGCATTTAGCCCATCTGGGCAAGAGTATGCAGTAAAGATTGTTCATTAATTATTCACACACTTACCAGTAAAGTTAGCCATGGTTGTGGTGCAAGTTGTCTCCTCGAACTCTAGAGAGTTAGTCTCCGTGATCGGCTTGACGATCACCATGCCGCAGGTAATCATGGCGCCCAGGCAGCTCGCGGCCAGGATGAAAGTCACCAGAATACCGCACTGGAACCGTCTGAGCTGCCCGATTGCAGCCCGTCGGTCTTCCGTCATAGGGCCGCCGCAACGCGTGGTACAGGGCATCGTGCGTCTCTGGAAAAACAAACCACACTGAACCGTGACTCGATAGATACGTGATTAGGGTCAACGCTTTTAACGACCTGCTGGTCGCCTAGCTCAGGAGATTGGCTCTATCGGTCGTTCTGTTCATAAAAGGTTTACTTAGTATTTCTGGTCACGTCCATTTCGTTCACCCAAGTATCAAGTTCACCCGGATGTATCAGTCTATTCTACTCTAAACACTGTCCTTGTGCATTGTGCAGGCGGTAGCAAATCAAATCCTTATGTAGGAATCCATCCAACATATAACATGTATGTTTTCTCTAAATCTCAGTGTCCGAGTGGGTTCTACCAACTTTGATTGAACCCCCTTTGTGTCCTTCCATTCTTCATGCATATCAATAACAAGGGGTAACTAGAACTACCTGAGGTCCTCTGAGACGTAAAATAGCATTTTCTATGATTTTTTTTTACTTCAATTTGTCTGTTTTCCCGTCAACGAGTATTCAAATAAGTGGCATGAACAATTTAGACCGACATACAGCCATCTGTCACGCCCACATTTTCTGTGATACCATTCAGTAAAAACTTAGGCACCTGTGCGACATGCATGGTAAATAATTTCTAACCTACTTGTGAGTAACAAACAGAAACATCTTCAGAAGCCTCTTTAAAATACATTTCTAAACACGGTCGTGTTAGTGTGTGTGTTCATGTGGGCAGAGAACTACAAACGGAGCTTACGTACTGTCATTCCCTCAGGAACAGGCGAGAAACCGTGCAGACGTCGCTGCAGTGCGTACAGGTATGACTCACAGTCACCCGCAAAACCTTATCCACCTGCTGACGACGACACTTGTTACCCTGGATACGGTCATAGGTTAGGCTCAGTAGGTAGTCTAATAGTACATGCACTTGTTCACGTAAACACTATTCAAATCCATACAATTCGGTTCGAGTTTCAATTCCCGAACGTGTTGTTAGGGGTCTGTACATGTAGTGGTAATATTGACATGTCCGCACTGTTTGTGAAATCGTTTAGCTCAGTTGAACAAGCTCGAATGGAACGATCCGTGTTGTCATCATCACGTGTTTGTCTTGGGTCAACGTCCTGTTGGTCGCCTTAGCTCTACGCTCTACGAGTCGTTCTGTCCACACAAGGATTATATCTGGTCATAGACATTTTGATGGCATTTGCTAAAAGAGTTCTGCACAGCTGACATTCTTTGATATCCTATGCCAGTAACCCTAGACATGAACAGTCCTCTCAGGAATCATAATGTCGGATCTTCTCATCAGAGATCATCGATCAGAAATTACAGAATGAACGTCCTGCTGGTCGTATAGCTAGTGGTCGACGCGCTATGTGTCGTTCTGTTTTATTTTGTTGTCTGTTTTAACAATAACGTGACATCCAGATAGCTTATATCAAGATATAACGTCCTTGGCTTTAGGAATAATTATTAGCTGCACTGTGTTGCGGCGAAGAGTGGTTCTAACATGGTTAAAAACCTTAGTTATACCAGATGTACAGATTATGATATAGATACAGATACAGAACATGCTGACTTCGATAGTCATTTACATTTGCTAACTTTACGACCATTCCAAATAGAATGTGTCAGACCTTCTTTGATACTAGTATATAATTTATTTCAGCAGCACATAATCAAACGGCAGACAGTCTGCAATCAAACGTTAAAAAATCATAATCTAAACTTGCTGACTTCGGGTAACCCAACCGCACAAGGAACACGTAGAGCTAACTCAGTATCACCACACTATGTTTCAAAAGAGAAATGTAGGAACATTATGAGTATTAGCTAATTTTCCAACATGATGATATGATGTATATACCGATCGGGTGTACTTGTAGCTTGAAACATGAGCTCTTTATCAAAATTGACACCTATATATACTCTACTAGTTTCAAGGTCGCCGGAATGCCACACAACAATTCAGCACCACAGCAAGGCGCAACAGCGCATGGTAGAGCTTCTCAATTATTCATAGACAAGTCAGGCGTGCTTTATATCATAAAACCAGGCTGTGACATGATATCTATCATGTTAAAAATCCTATAATCGCATTTATTCGATAGTAATACCCTGTAGATCATCGGCTTTACTGTGTAGAGTGTCATATTTTGATACCTAACCATGGTTTGATACGTATTTTATACTACCAAGGCCATTTATATAGACTAATATAATGTTCTTGATACTACAAGCTCGACACCACTGTTTATATTGAGTAAATATAACTTACCTGCACTGAACCTAATTGGTATGATAAGGTCCTTGAATGTATGACGTCTGATAGTTTTTATTCAAAATCCATCCAGTAGTTTGAGTAACAATTCGTGGTGTAAGCTACTCGACTCAATGTAATACTAGTAAGACTTTGGTGGTGATGATCTCTGACCTTTGAACTGTAAGGAGAAGGTCAATCTAGAACCTGTTAGACCACCTAGTGTCGCATGTCACTTGAAATGACGCGTAAGCACAACACACGGCCATATCCTCCCAAAGATTTCAAGGTAACGTGTTTTCAGTCAGCTTTTATAAAATCAGAAGTGCACAGGCAACATTTAATCAACATTTAATCCAACATGTCTTCATAATTCTTAATCCATAGGCATATTTTTTCTTACCTTCGCCAAGAATGTTAATGTTATGTTTTCAGAGGCGTTCGCGTATGTGTGTGTGTGTGTCTGTGGACACGATAGATTGAAAAGGCTTACATGACTTGTTTTGATACTTTGTAGGTGGGTAGGTCTTCATAAGACCTCCAAATGATTAGATTTTGGACCCCCTAGCGGCTTGGTATGGTACTGCAGCTGAAGGTATGAGATCGGGGAACTCTAGTTTCAAAATGAAATTCGTCTCATGTCGTTTATAACCTGAGATGACATTGAGTGTTACATTAACTCGGTGAAGATGGTCTTGTCCTTAATGAGGATTATTTCATTGTTAAGATTTAAATAGGAATTTACAAATTGACTTCACCATTCAGTGATTTCGTGATTTAGCCCTGCATAGCAATAGACTATAAGGTTTAAGACAATATTACTTCTAATCACTAGACGCGGTGAAAATTGCTATTGACTTTATAAATACAGGGCAGCTTGTTACGTAATTGATAGATAATTACCGCGTTTGTTTCCAGACTGACGATGAACAAGAGCCAGTTGTTTCTACTCCTGGTCTTAAACAGCTGCATTTTGGTTGGTTACTACATCTGGCGCCTGAATGGCTCCACTCGCGGCTTGTCTGGTATCCGGAAACAACTCGTCTCGCTAGCGAGGAACACTCGGCAATGTCCGACTATAGAAAACCAGGAGCATGGGCGTGTGAGAAGATGGTGTGTAATGCATGTTTGTATTTCTATGGGGAAAATTTCCTCATGCTTTCATATAGAAAGTACAAAGTAAAATGTGCTAATATGTACGCTATCTTAATCGTCTGAGATCACAGCCACTTTGAGTATAGTATAGTATAGTATAGTATAGTATAGTATAGTATAGTATAGTATAGTATAGTATAGTATAGTATGGTATAGTATGCCTTTAATTATGAAATTTGCATTGTAGAACATTAATGTCATAACGTATATTAAATATAAACGGATAGGGAAGTTCAACCACAACATTAGAAGAAAAAAGAAAGAGAATGGACCCCCTACATAATAATCATTTCCTTTGGAGACCCCCTAACATAGATTACTTAATCACTAAGTGGATACATCATCACTCCGACCAAGTTACAGAGTTATTGTTCCAAAGTTTAAGCCTTAGTTACAACACGAAAAAAGACTCACATTTTCGTGTTGGAACTAAGCTTAAACTTTTAACAGTGGACTCTTCCAACGCAGATGAGCTTTCATTAAAATTACAGACAGAATTTTTGAGCCTCGCAAGAGTTTTATTCTGATCTAGATGTACTTTTCTTGTTCTAGGCTCGCCAGTACAGACGAGATCTCCCAGAGCCATGGCGAGACGTGTACGTCACCGCGGACCACGTTTGTTTTCATCAAGGTACACAAGGCCGGAGGTACCACTGCACTCGCCATCATGCACCGCCTGGCAGTGGTACGTGCCTCGGGGAGGTTTTAACTTGATGATTTTCTAAGAATGATCGTGTATTGTTCTTTTACGTTTGTTATACTAGCTAGCCCTTTCCGTCAAGGAAGGTATCATTGTGATGTAGCACCTTCTTTTACTTCTCCCCCCCCCAATCAATCTGTATACGTAGTGGTTCCTTCCATACAGTGTCGTTCTTTTGAATTGTTACTCAGAACAGGACACTACAAGTATGGGTTATAATTCTGAGTTTAGGACTCTTTCTTTTCACTGTCCTTTCCTCAATCCGTTTTGCCCTAGCATTGTAATTCCCTTTGCTGTACTACCAGCATGATCATTGTTGAATTAGGACACGTAACCGACGTTTTTATTCATTTCTTCGTCCACAGGTACGAAACCTGAGCACCGTGATTCCCCGCATGTCCGTGGTACTGGGGCACCCGTTCCAGCTCCGTCTTGAAGACTACCATGCCCTGAAGGAAGGAAAGTTCGAAGTCTTAGGAGAACACTCCGTCTACAACCGTGACGTCATGGACAGCATCATGAAAGAAGACGTGGTGTACCTGGCCGTCTTGCGTCGCCCGGTGTCGCAACTGGCGTCGACGTTCCACTACTACGGCATCGAGAGGCGGTACAAGCGGGGTTCTGTTTCGCACAACCCCGTTGAGAATTTCCTGTTGGACCCTTGGCGACGGATGCCTAAGCCGTATCGCGACGGAAGGAACGCGCCTTACTCTAAGTACAGAAACTGGCAGTCCACGGAGATGGGCTTTCCTCTGGGGTTGTCAGACAACGAGGCCGCGATACACGACTGGGTCCAGAGCACGGGGCGTGAGTTCTTCTTCGTTATCATCCTCGAACATTTTGACGAATCTATGGTGATGTTACGGAGGCTGATGTGTTGGGACGTTAAGGATATCATATATCTCCGGCCTTCACTGTCAAGGTCGTATAAGTACAAGACGAAGCCACCATCGGAGAAGGCGCTGCGCAACCATAGAAAATTCAGCGCCGTGGATTATGCACTGCACGAGTACTGGAACGTCTCGCTGTGGAGAAGAATTTCTCAACAAGGTGTAGACTTCCACGAGGAAGTCGCCGCATACAAACAAATGAATTCAGTCGCAGCCAGCTACTGCGAGATCGCATCCAAAGGCAGCGTTCCCCCAAAGGTTTTTCCACAAACGAAATGGTCAGCACGATTCGAGATCGACCTGTTGTTTTGTAAACTCTTGAATCTATTCACAGTGGAGCTGAGGAAACTACTGTTTTACACGATGTACGCGCAGGGGAGACTGAAGCAGTTTCAGAAGGAAAGCGAGAAGCTGAATCGGCATTCAATCACATGGCAGGACATAGTGGAGCATAACTTCCAGAAAATTGCAAATAGGAAAAATAAGAAGAAACATGGAGGGTAGACGGAAAACGCCTAAAATTACAATGATGATGTGGATATTCGTTGTAAAATTATGGATGAAAAGACCAAAGATACTATAAAGGACAGAAATATTTATCTAAAATGTTGGATTTAGTCATTGAATTAGTTTAATAATCATGATATGATAGATTAGGAAACACCCATACATATAGCCATTTCTTTTTACAATTCATTATCAAAGTTTCGTTCAGACGTAATGCCTGAGCTGTACAGTTGCAGATTTGGAAATATATCATGCGAATTTCAACATGCTTGTTTGTATGTGGTGTTTAGTTCGCAATGAAACTAAGTGCAATACTGGAAAGAACGGCTAGATGGTGCTCGTGAATAGTGTCTGGATGCACTTTGGAAAGTAAACGACAGTACACAGACTGCGTGTCCATGACTCTACTTCACCGCTTATGGTCACAGTAGCGCTAGAAATTGGCTGTAAGATCTTTGTGATCTAGAGGTAGCCGAAGTGTGTCATTTCCTCAGAAATCAAATTTAAATCTTGTCAACCAGGCAAACTTTTTGAAAGGTTCGTAAGCCTTTTTACTACACGTTTGGTACCAAAGTGACTTTGCGCTAAAATTACAGTAAATTGATGGTCATCTAAAGCTGCTCAGAAAGACATTATATGTTAGGATCCCGATCCCTCATGTAGTCCTTATACTGTAGTGGATGATGTGAGTTGATTTTCAATTTTTTTTTGTTCTGTGGTCGGGGGAAGGTTCTGAATGAGTGACAGGAGTTTCAGTAAGTAGCACATATCGGCGACGCGATCTGCTAGACAGCCAGCACTAATCCCGTCCCTCGGGAGACGGCCTTGTTAGGATGTTATTCATCTTTGACCCGAGGGCACCGAGGTCGTCAGCTGAGTCAAGGACGGCAGGCAAATTAAAGCAAACTAGCGGCAGAAATTGCAAAAAGTATCATTTTTGGTGTTAACGTATTGTTATAATGGTTTGCTAGAACATATTATGAGGGAAAAATCAAGCAGTTGTGCCATACCTTGAAATTGTCTCAATCAAAGTATTCCATACAGATGTGACACCTATACTAGTATATGTTGCTTTTCCACCGCGTTCCTGTATCATATTCTGCAATGTTGTTGAGAAATTTAGTCAAGTTGGCAACCATTTCAGCTCTATCATTAGTCTATGTTGTGACATGGATACATGATAATTGCCAAGATTTCGCCCAAGGAGCAGTCGATCACGCACTCGATCATTGCTACTCCTGCAAATTCATATCCGCTATGCAGATTTTACCTCTCTTGGGTACTTCATATTTTGATGATCACTGAATGATCTTGATGGCTTTTTGCAAGATATGTTTTACACAGGATCAGTTGTGTTTTTTTCTGTGTACTCTTGGTACATGGTTATGTTATCGCCCAGTTTCAGAGTCGACATTCGGCAGAGGCTTTGCAAGAAACGCCAACGGCCCTTCCTACAGATAAACCTTGGGAGCTGGATATCTTCACGTAATGAAATAGTCAGGAGGATGCTTCAAGGTTACATACATACAACTCTTGGCAATCCGTCAATGTCTGAGAACGTATGTTGGGTATTAGATACCTCTTCAGTTGCAGAATGAATTCTGGGGTGTGCCCAGTACATACAGAACATGTTTTTTTTTCATTGTGAGAAGAGGGCTCTTTGTAAGCGTTCTGGCTATTGCCCAATCCACAATAGATAAATGTGACTAATATAAAAATAAAATGTACCTTCTATCCAAACGCCCTGCTAACATCTGCATTTATAACTATTAACCTACCATGTCTCCAATATGAAATGATCAACAACCTGTCGGCTACAAATATTGTAATAATTTAGCACATGTCTTTCGAAATGTCTTGTAAATGTCCTCGGCAATGATGGCAAATATATTTTATTTAGATGCTTGTTCCTAAAGAGAACTTGTGCTTTTCATAGCCACCAGTTCACATCTCTACGGAGTTATAAATCAGATAGGATACCCTTTTAAGATGTATGCGAAAGATAGACAGTACTGAGGACAGAGTTGATGTAGTCTATGACACAGATGGTGATATCTTGCCTCTCGCATCAGTCACTCCCCGGTCTCTAGAGGCACGTTTAGCCTCTGATGTCTAGATTTAGATGTTTAGTAACTCCCGCTCATCCCCTGACTGTGCGCGTGACGGGAGAAGGGCACGGGGGACCGGCGACTTGCGGGGATGAGTGACACCAAGAGGAGGAAGATTTGACGGTTACAACGTTGTTACGTTAAGGTCCTCACGCGAGTGTGGCACTGATGGCGTTATTAAACTGTAATAAGCTTCAGAAACCATAAATCAACAGGGTGAGGTCGGTCGGAAACGCTTTCAGGGTCTTTCTGTAGATGATGAAATAGCGCCTCCATATTCTGGTGATCTACCTATTGTTTCTTGTCAAACAACGCCCCTTTTCCTAAACAAAACTTGATGTTCCCTATCTCTACACATCAACCAGTCCAGTCAATGAAAAGATTGTTAGAAATCCGCCGATGCAACCCTGTCGAACACACTTCCTAGTACATATCTGGCAATAACCTGTGTCTAAGTGTTCCCACACCTAACCCATTGTTTACAATGACCTAGACCTCAGGTTAGCATGAAAGTTCATCTGAGTTGGTAAATTACATTATGAAAAACTTAAACTGTTCTCCAACTCAAAATTTGACTCACCAGAAATTTTCGACTGAATCACTCAGTCTTCCTCAGCTATCTGACCCAAATACTGTGGACACGTGACCTCAGGTTGTTGTGACAAAGAGAACTCAACAAAGAATTCACGACTAGGCTTGTAACTTTGTCAAACTCTTTATACCACAATTTAAAACATACATTGAATTGCTTTTCTATCAACAGCTCCATTCAAAATGCCAAATTTTCTATATCAGGATATATCAGGATCTCTCATTTCATTGGTCTCTCAGAATGACATTACTGCATTCGTAAATAGCAATACATCAACCTCAGCTGCTAGAATATCTCTTATGGCCTCCCTATGTCGGCTGATTCGGTTTTTCGTTGATGTTTTCCCTGTTTGAGGTGACAACGACTGCACTTGTTTTTAATTCATTATGACAGAAATGTATTTTCAGTTGTAATTTTATGTAATCATTGTAATGCCGAAAGCTCCAGAATTAGTTGTCAATTAGTCACATGAAACTTGCGAGACGGTTGGACGTGATGCAAAGTTTCTAAAGAAAAAGTGGTGGGGAGATTCACATGTAAAGTCATAGATGCAAGACGGTTGGGCGTCCAAACATTTGATAGATCTCTCAGTCAATGTTGTCAATCTTTCAGTTAGTTCTTATTAATCGCCACTGGCCTTCTGAATGAATTGTCAATAAAAGGTTTGAATGATCAATAAATTTTGGTTGCCTAATAACGGTTTCCCAACGGTCTCTATCCTGTTGAACTGGGGCCTAGCTAGGTCGTCCCCGTGACGCCATGCATTTGAAGATGACATCACATTCTTTTCATTAAACAGACGAGTGGTGAATGGCATTTACAGGTATCAGTTGGTCCAATTTATGAAGTATTTTAACTTCAATCTTTTTAGTTTAGTCCCTGGTTTGGCTTTGAGAACTGCCTTGAGCAAAAAGTTTATCATCATCAGGTTCGAAGGACAGATGACAGGGTGTTGTATCGTCACCTTATGTTACAAGACATTTGAGCTCTAACTTTACGGAAGTCCTGCAAAAGAACTACAATATCTACACTCACAGAGTTGGGCTTGTTTCAGTCCTTTAGGGGCTCCAGACAGGCCCGGTATCTGACTTTTTCGGTCGCCGACAATTCGTCCAACTCAACTTTCTTGGTGACGTAGACCTTGTACTTCTCGTTGTTGCCTCCGTAGTATTTACACCTGGTCTGCATCTCGTAATCGCTGTCAGAGTCAGGCGGGGTCAGGGTCACCCCTACACAGAACACGTTCATTTTCCCCGAGTTGGCCATGGATATATGGCTGACGCGCGCTTTCGGTATGATGCAGCGGGCCTCCCCGAACGCCTCGATCTGATTTTTGCAGGTGCACTTCGCGAGAGGGTCGTTAGGGTTGCATGCAACGTCCATTTGGCAGCTGACGATGTGGACGTCCTCTTCCGGCGTCCCAGGTTTGTACGGTTCGTCGTTCTGCGGCATTTCGCCGTCTTCGTATTCGTAATCCGCGTACCAAGATTGTTCGACTTCCTCCGACGCGGTGGGCGGGAAGTCTCTCCTGAAAAAGTACTCCTTTTCCGCCCCAACGTCTGGTATCAAAGACGTCCGTCTTGTTCTGGAGAGCAATTCTGATGGAGGTTCGGTCATCCTCTCGATGACGATAGGAGCGAAGAACAAGTCAGAACCGTTACTTGTGACGTCACTAGGAGTGAAGGGCGCGGCCGCACTAGGGCTGAACTGGAGAGGACTGATGATGTAGGAGTCTTCTATCGAATCGGCGCCGCTTCCCGCCGAAGATTCGTAGTGCTCATCGTCCAAGTTATTGTTGTTGTTGTTACTACTACTACGATGGCGCCTGACCACAACGAAGGTTCTATCGGGGTCACTTCCACTTCCGTATCCGTCCGCTTCGTCGACTTCCGGCGAGCAGACGGGAAGTTGTTCCAGGAGAAACAAGATGGCGGCCAGACACCGCCAGACCGCCCCGAACTTCAGCCGCCCCATCCTCAGCCGCGGCGTCCGCCAGGCCTCGCTACGGGAGTCCTGCGGAAATATAAAGTACATCAACACAGGTCATTTCACCCCCGTGCCATTTGAAACGCACTCTCGTGGGATTTTGCCAAATCGATGCATAATTGATGGAGTACTTTAGCATCATATCCCGAATGATCCCGCTAAGTTCCATCAACCTAATATTTCAGCTGCCATCTGTCCAGTTCGGCTCCACTGTAAAAAAAGCGAATGTCAAATTCATAAACTATAACTGGTGGCACGTGACCGAGGGAGCCTAGCGAGTGTCATAATGCTCTCATGAAATATTATATGCGCGGTATCTTCTATTGATTGAAATGAGGATAGCTTGCCGGTGCTTTAACTAGATAGACAACATGATACCTGCATGGCTAACTGCCCAGCTGAAATCCATAGATATAGAGAAGAATGTATGATGGCTAAATGCTACCAGATCATACTATATCCAACGTGATACTGTTATCAAGAAATATGGAAGCACATCGTTGAAGGTTTAGTTTTATATAAATCACTCGAATATGGTTTTCTTACTTGCAGACGGACGTGACATTTGCTAAAAGCACTGCAAAGACTGGAGTAAAGAGAAGCGCTTTGTTGAAGAGCTGTGTTTTCTCTCGTCATGTATGTTATCGAGCGATAGAGGGTGACTGATGTACCTGTCTCGGTAGTATGAAATTTTCATCGTGTTACGCAGTTTCACAATTTCTCACATGGTATTAAGATATCATCGTGTTGTCTTATCTTTATCCTGTGCAGAGCACAAATGGGTCATTGTAGAGACATAATAGAATGGAGTCGTGAAATAGTTGACGGGTTTTAGATGATATGTCCATAAACACAACGATATAGTCTACACGAAGGAGATGTAAAGCCCGTAATATACGCATTTCTACGTGCAAATTGCTTGTCACACATTAGCGTAACAGATAGCGTTATTGGTAACAGATACTGACATCTTTAGCTCAGGCTCAATGTAAGGGATGAGCACCTATAATGATAATGGTGGGAAAGTGATTAGTAGACTGATATTGTCAATAAAGTTGATGAAAAAATCAATCTAAAAGAGAAATTGTTACCGTGGCTAGATGCAAAAGCTCGTCCTATACATAAAATCGATTTTTTTGCTTTTGCAACGGAAAAATGACAACCCTGTGCTTGATATCAAAACTTTAACGTATTCAGGCAGTGGAATCAGATTGCTCAAATCTTCCATGAACATATGCGTTGAAGTTTTCGCCAAATTTTCTAGTTACAATATGGTGTTATATCTTTAAAAAACTCCCTGCAGTTTCAGTGTTTTTCTTGAAAACTGGTAAATGAATCAAGACTTCGTTAAGTGTAGACCAACCATGTTGAAACCTTTTATTAATTCCTTGTCCTAAACCCAACATATAATGTGTCCCCTGTTCACATCGAAGGGGTGTTGAATTAGTCCCTGCAGTTCCGGGTATATCCGCTACCTCCCGCTGGCTTCCACTATCCACGACAATTTCCCAAATCCCAGCACAGTGCTGCACAGACATGATAGCATGCCAACATCCTTTAGCATTGAAAGTCTCTGCCCCCATGGCTTAGCTGTAGCAAGCTTCCGTACCATTCGCAAGCCTTCGCTACGCAAGCGTTGACGCTAGAGATATTTCAGCGCTCTACAGGGAAAAAACCCTATTTGTCATGTGAGAGACGCTGTATCGGACTTGACAACTTGTCCCAGTAATTTTGTCTCAACAACAAGAAAAATCATCGGAATAGCCATGTGCAGGGACTAGCTATGCGAATACTAGATGTTTCAGGAGCGGGTGGGCATGTGCTATAGGGTATTGAAAGAGATGACGATAGAATGATACGATTTGGAATACAACACTACTGGTCACAAAACTGCATTGATGTCACCTGTTAGCTTGTTACAGCAACATATCTAACAAAAACTGACATACGTTACAGAAGCTTACACGAGATAGGCTAATTGTATCTTTAGTATTAGTGTGTCTCTCTGTATACGTGCATAAATGTATATTTGTGTGCTGCTATTTGTATGTACTTAATAGGTGCAATTTCTGCGTTTATGAAAAAGATTTGCTGATGCCCAAGCTATGAATTCTTCAGTGTAACGAATCAAATGACTTCAAAACTAATAGATCAAAATGCATTATGCATCGTTTATGACATTGTATATGTATATTGCACCTGTAGTGGTTTTACTGTGTGCCCGTTTCCCTACTAGTTCACCACCTGAGCTGGATGCCGCACAGTGCCCACGATCTAGTCTGCCCGTAGAGGACTGGCAGTACCAACCATAATTGTTAAGAGATATGAGTCGAGCCAAAGCTCAATTGGTAGCTATTACATTGAACCCAAGCACTATTCAAACTGTCCTAACCTATTAGGTGCAGGATTTTTAAGATGTCCTGTGGCTGAGCGGTGTGCCTCCCCCGGATGGCTATAACTGCTGCCGGGTCAGTAGTGCCGTTTGATGTGACAGGTTTCATCAGAAAGCCGAGCCCGGATAAGAACAGATCGATTGCCCCCAATCTCCCCGAGACAACTGTTTCCATCCCTCGGGTCAGCTCCAATTCGCGCCCGAGGGATGACCCGGAGAGGCCGCGGTAAGAGTTGACATATCATCGGAATAGGGAAGTCGCGCCGCACGTTAGATCTGCACAAGGTACTCGAATGAGCAGATCTCTAAGCTGATCGTTGTTAGAGGTTTTGATTTATGAAATTTGATTTTCTTTCATTGCTGTGAAGTTTGATGTGTCATTTGATTGTAACAATTTTGGTTAGATAGTCTGTTGTTTTCTTACGTATCTATAATATGATTTACTTTTTTCTTTCGTTTGATCTTATTCATATGTGTTATAATGATCAGTAATTATCATGACTTTAAGTAATTAGTCGTATTTTTAATAGAGGAAAGCTCTTGATAAAACTTGAAGGATTCTGGTTTGCCCTGCATATCCTACTTAGCATTTACAATATGATAATTTGTTTTTATGTGCAAATAAACAATAAACAATAAGAAGTAAATACTCAAGCTCAACCTATAGATTAAATGATAGTTTGGGGCAGCATATTGTATCTGCAGTTGGCACGATGCTGATTTTTGAGGCATCAATTCTGACAAGCAACAATTTATACTCACGGTTATAGCGGGCGTCTTGTATGAGCTAACCCACAGGGCAACATTATTGAAAGAGGAGGATCGTTCATTGTCAATACAACTTTGCTTGCATGCACAAAACTACAGTGGCAGAGTAGTCTCTGCAACATGAGGTTATGACTTATATCAAGGACATTATACAGAGACTCGGAAACATATAACGTTACATGGATGTATTCCAGTCCACGTACTGCATGCAATCAATCCTCCCACTTGTTGTAACCAGGGCAGGCCATTCTATAAGTCCTTATGACAACTAACAGGAACAGTGGACCACGTTCTCACATGTACAGCCATTTCAGGTGCCATGTAGCCACACCAAAAAGATTTAGTAAATGAAATTAAGCACAGGCTATGATTTGAACTCTCCAAACCCTTCAGAAAACAGTGTGGTTAACTACAATCCACGTACACACAGTCAGACGTCGAATGAATTCCTAAGCCATTTATATGAGCTGGAAGTGGCAGCCACCAGACAGTTTGTAAAACAGTGCCAGTACTAGTAGGGAGTCCATTCCAAAGACAGCCATGATTGATTCCGCTGGAAGTCGACCCGCTGCTCCGAAAGCCGTTTCAATGAGCCTGTGTACAAGATGGATTACCACAACCCAATCCATCATGATCCCCTAGACACATCGATCAGGCCGATAGCCTTTATTTACCGAGATAAGTCATTACGTCTTAACCTTAATTAAGTTTCCTTGCCTTAATAAGGTGTTCGAAAATTCCGTCAGAAAAAGGGCGACCTTGCAAGAAAGGATGAAGGATGAAGTAGACTTAGAAAAATATAAGATATCGCAGAGTAAAACGCATTTGACACGCCCACGCAACATGTCCAAAATGTTTATTGTTTTAGGACCACCTCCACCGAATGCGTAACTACAATCCGAACATGGAATAAGGTTCTTGTCATAAGGTGTCAACGCCGCCTCTCATTCCAAGTTGATTCCAAGATTTTTGTGTGGATTGAGCGTTTAAAATACCTTACACAAACTGGTAACGGGTGATAATGTATTGGTGCATTGGCACGTTGCGGGTAAAGGCAACTACTGAAATAATGTTGACCGCAGACATGTACACCAAAGGCGTACATGTAGCTTTCGCATCATCAGCAAGGCAAGTGGCGCTCAAAGGCACAGCCAGCATTCACTAGTACTGTAGATAAACGATCATGATGGATGTTACCAAGAACAAGAGCTTGTGGAGACAGTTGCCGGCGGCTACTATCACTCTACTTCTACACATCTAATCACTGTTGCCCTGCTCAGGGCCTCTGTTACAAAGCTACATGTATGCTTCCAGTCCTGATGGCTATGTATTTGAGAGAGCACAGTCACGAGTTGGCTTTCTAGTACTGTAGTGGGTGTGAGAGTTAACATACATGAATGTGCAGGCCGATTCTGGATGTGCACGTTTTTTTTCAGAAATGATGACAGTTGAACAGAGAAGGCTGACGGACACAACGGGCGCAGTTGCAGCTCCCCCCTCTCTGGCCTTAGCATTGTTGTTGCCTCTGTTCGCTTCAAGGGGTTTGCATGTAAAATGTGTTCAAGTGAATCAGCCGGCCCAGTCCTGTATGCACTTGTCTGGCTGCTTTGGGGAGATACGAGTATGCATAATGCTATCAGTGCCTTATCACAAAAGACTAGTTGTGGCATGTTGTAGGATCAGCAGCAGTATACACCAGGATGGCAGTATTGTGTTCACTGTCATCTGACCTTAAAGTCTGCTGCTTAAAGAAGACGATGTGAAAAGCTGCTGACGTGTCTTCATGATTACACACGTCTCGAAATTCTCCTCACAGCGGACAAACCTTTTGTTACGGACAGGCATCGTCACAAAATTCATTGAACCC